TCTAAGGCCCTCTTCTGGCCTCTATAGGCACTGCACATATGTGATGCACATACAAAACAACGAAACCAAAATTTAAATTAAAAACAAGTATCTCCCATCAAAAAAATTCTGTAATTTGGTTGCTTTTCCGATGAATTTCATCAACATTTAGGAAAGAATGAATACCAATTCTTGTCAAACTCATCCCAAAATGTTGATTGGACAAAGTACTCCTGAACTTGTTTCACAAATATTACTCCATTATTAAAGCCAGACGGAGGCGCTACAAGAAAAGAAGTTATAGTCCAATACTCCTGAAGAGCACAGATGCAGACAGACTTCAACAACAGATTAAAAGGATTGCTATCCAGTAGTCAGAGAGTGGACCTGCAGTCCCAGTTGCTTGGGAGGCTCAGGCAAGAGGATAGACCTCTTTAGATGCCCTAAGAGTTCATCAGCCTGAGCAACATGTTGAGACTCTGCCTCTTAAAACTAAAGCAATAAACATAAACAAAATGGCTGGGTTTGCAGAGACAGCCGAGCAGCTCACACACCACTTCTCTCGCAGAGGACCAGTGTTCAGTTCTTAGCACCCATGTCAGGCAGCTCACAACCACCTGTAGCTCCAGCTCTAGGGGTATCTGATGCTCTCCTTTGGCATCTGGGGAACCTGCATGCCTATTTTTACACAATTAATGTACATTTTAAATTTTTAAATGAAAATAAATAAAAGTATCATCCATCATAATCAAACAGGACTTAATCCTGGAGTGTAAGGATGGTTCAATATATTCAAATAAAAAACTGGCATATCACATTAATAAATGAAGGGCAAGAGGACCACAAACACAGATCTGTGTGATGGAGATGTCTTTAACCAAATAGTCAAATTTAGCATCACTAGTGGTGAGACGATGTCTTCTGAGGCGATGTAACCGTGTCAAGGAGCAGTCTATGGAATACTCTTGCCAAAATGTTAGTCCAGATTCAATTAACTCATTAGCCCCTAACTTCTGCCTCTGTAGAAAGTCTATGGCACAAAGGAATACGTTAATGAAACTATGAAAACTGATCTAAAAATGAGACATTTGAAAAAGTGTCTGGTCTTATATTAAAGTAGTAAAACATTAGAAAGAACGAGGTTAAGAATGTTCCAGAACAGGGCTTCTTCAAGTTTTTCCCTAGAAATTTTTTATATGACTTCAGATATACAGGTATGTAAATTAAACATCTATTGGTGATAAATAATAAAGACATTTACTTTGAAACAATTCATTGGTAATACTTTTTAAATGGTATTTATGTGCATGGTTATTTTGTCTACATGTGTGTCTATGCACTACTTTCATGAAGTGCCCAATGCATCCAGAGGATCCTCAGACCTGGAGTCACAGACAGTTGTAAGATGCCATGTAGGTACTGGGAATCAAACCGAAGTCCTCTGAAAGAGCAACCGGCACTCTTAACCACTGTGCCATTTCTCCCACTCCCTAATTTTATCATTTTATTAAAGACAAAATAAATTGGCACAATAGTGGGATGTACATGCTTGCTGTTACACAAGGATGGAGCCTGGGCTTGTATTTGGAACTTCAGAATGAAGGGCACTGTCCACATTTTTCAGAGACAATTATCATTTCGATTAATAGTTTTCATTGCCAATGCTGACGACACTGCTTTACATAAATATGTAATGCAAAGTGGTAGAAAAATGTCTAGAGCATTTCAGAATTAACTGGAAGCTCTGCGTCAATACCAAGCCAAAACTCATTTAAAAGTATTTCCGTGAAGCTCAAGTCAGCAGCCCAGATAGCAATTTTTAAAATCAGGAGTTGGAGAGATGGCTTACAGGTTAAGAGTGTTGGCTGCTCTTCCAGAGAACCTAAGTTTGAGTCTCAGCATCCATTTTGGGCAGTTCACAATCACCCACAATTCCAGTACCAGGGGACCAGAAACCTTTCTCTGGTCTCTGTGGAAACTTGCGCTCATCTTCATTCCCACACATACAATTAAAAATAAGTTTTTAAAAATGAAGTCTTAAAATTAAACAATTAGAAATTAATTTGATGTAACCAAAGAATGACTAACTAGGAAAATATAGAAGTTCTGTGTTTTCCATAATTAAATCATCATGTTTCTATGAGAGCAGAACACTCTGTACGCACAGCAAAAAACACCACAATCACTACCATTCCATAGTTGGTTGAGGTGTTTGGGGCAGCACTTGCTGGCATTTGGCAGTGTGGCAGCATGTGCAGGGAAGGATGTGTGCACTGTGCTGGGAACCAGGGCTGCAATGAAGTCACAACATGGGCAAGCACAACTAGAAACACCTCATATTGGCTAAACATCTTTTATTGTTGCTAAGTTGTTGAGAACATTGCCACATTTGGGAAGTGATGCCCTCTTCTGGTCTGCATGGGCAGCTGCATCCCCCACCTCCCACGGTCTGGCTCAGCCTCTGTCTTTACAGGTTCATCATTTTTGAGAAGCTCTACTCGCCACTAAAAGATTCTTTAGCAACAACACAGTAGGCAAACTCGGCCTGAACTGACTGGCTGCTGCTTTGAGACAGCTGTAGAAAATGTGGGACGCTGAACATGGAACTTGACTGTTAAGCCGATCTGGGAGGTTACCTTAGGGAATTCCTGCTCATTTTCCAAGTTGGTAAGGGTAGTATTAACCTAGGGAACAACCCTGTTAAGAGTTGCAAGATGAAGTGTTTCAGGTGTGACTCAAGGTCCAACATACTTTCACACGGTTCCGAAGAAACCGTGCATGTCCTATTCAACTAACAAACACAACAAAATAACAGCAGTAATGGTTCACTTATTCCTGGTCTAGGAATAAATGAATGTCCCTTGTCTAGGGACAGAACTAGGTACTACGGATGTGGAAAGGGCTGAGACAAAGCCCCTGCCTCCAACCAAGGGTCTCAGTGTTTCACAGAAGGGGACCTGTGGCTTCTCACACTATGAAGTGAGGGTACATATCCCACACATATATTTCCTAGGTGCTGGTCCATTCTGGTGCTGCGCCCGAAACTACAGGCACAGAGCTCAGAGACCTTCGAGGGAGGTGTAACTGTGGATTTAGGGCTGTAAAAGGTGTTACACTTGAAATGCACCGAGTACCAAAACAACACAGAGAAGGACCAACCTATTTCACTCAGGGAGGGGTACGGGGATTGTGGGGGGGGGGAGATAGTTGCATGACTGACAAGAGAGCCAATAGGAAACGGAGAAGTGGGTGGGCAGAAGCACGCAGGCATAAAATGCTCCGCCCACGCCTCACACCACCTTGCACAAGGGGACAGTGCCCCAGGAGCACTAAGACAGAAGGCAGCCAGGGGCTGAGGGGATGAGGTAGGAGGGTGTTAAATCCTCAGCAGATTTAGGAACTGGGGCTCCCTCTTCACTGGGAATCTCTGCCAGTAGAGTAGCTGCTGCCTCGCCATGCTGGGCCCAGAGAAGAGCTGAATCGCCCCGTGCTCTAGGTGTCTGAACTTCAGGCTCTGTCAGCTCACTAGTCTGAAGAGTCACAGGGAATTCAGAGGCCAGCTCTATGTCAGCAGGCATAAAAGCGCTGCAGGCGGAAGGCTCCATGATCCTTGAGCTGCTGGAGCTCAAAGTAATGAAGGAGGCCCTGGAGTGACCCGCGAGGGATGAGGCCCCAAGGATCAGCTTTTCCTAGGACTCCATAGAGAATCTTTCTAGTGGAATAAGTGGGACCTTAACCTTGGCTAGTTAGGAGGGAGCCGCTTTTTGCCGTAGTCACTGGCACGCAAAGCCATCAGGTATTTTTGCCTGACCTCTGAGGTTATCTGGCTCGACGGCTGTCTTTATATGCTCATCATTTTTATGCTGGGCATAGAGAGAGCTTTTTGGACAATGACGCCAGAACACTAATTATGTCATCATTCTTGCCCTAAGTTGTGAGACTGGCCTTTTCTCCTATGACAGCTGCCTCTGCTGATCGGGCCTGAAATTCTAGGTTCCAGACCCTTTTAACCAGGGTCCTGTCTCTTCTAATTGCGGATGGGGCAGCCCCCTGGAGGAGGCCCCAGTATGCCTCCCTTGCTGCAATTGAGCCTTCTCTCGGTGATAGAGAGGGTACTTCCGCAAAGTCTTCACAGCTGCTCAGCATCTCAAAGGAGGACTCTTACCAAAGGCCTCTTGGCATTCTCCAGCATTTGCTAGTGTCATTGCTGTGTCTCTTTTCTCCTCAGCTCCATGCGGGGTATCTCTTTAACCGCAATAAGAAAACATGGTTGTGAAGGGCCTAACCATTAGCGATGGGTGTCTGGCTGAGGAGAAAGCTCAGGGCCCAGGGGCAAGGTCAGATGGATGCCACACCAACTTCAAGCCACTTCTCAGTGAGCAGGGAGAGAGCCAGCCCCAGGCCCACAAGGCAGGCAAGCAGGCAGACAGAAACAGAAACCCTCAGGCTCTGAGGGAGGTGAAGCAGCAAGGCCCTCAGCCATGTCAACTGAGGGCAAAAGAGCTCTCTCTGTCAGTAAATCACCCCTGCTGGACGCCCCCATTAGCATGTATCAGCTGCGTCTGGCCTGCGCCCACCCAGAGAGAAGCCACTGGACTGACAAGCAGAGCAGGTGATGATGGTGATGAAGGCTCTTTAGGACCACTGACATCAGACGGAGGCCCAGCCTCAGGGGGAATTCCAGGCTGGGTCAAGTGTCTGGTGGGGTGCATCCACCGAAGGGGGCGTCTCCTTCAGAAGTAGAGCTGGTGATGATGGCCCATACTGATATCCTTTTTGGATCCCAGAGCACCCCCCGCCCCCGCAGGTCCGGGTCCCTCAGATCCCCGCCCCCATTCCAAGAAGCCTTGTCAATCACGAATCAAAACCTGCAGAGGGTTGGGGCACAGGCTGCCCCCCAAAAGCGGGCTCTGACTCAGTCTGCAGCCTCCGTGGCGGGGCTGAGTCAACCCCTCTGCCCTGGTGAGTTGTCGCACACTGGAGCCCCATGTACCCCCACCAGGCCGCGCCACCTCGCCTACCTGTGCCCGCGGCTTGGCTCCTCCTCGCTGGCGCTGCCCCAGCCAGGACTGAGGTACCGGGCTGGGTCCCCCGCTGCCTGCGCCGAGGTCCCTTCGTCGTCCTCCTCCAGATCCTCCACGTCCTCGGCCTCCTGGATGGCGACACGGATCTGCACTGTGGTCTCAGGCCCGGGCAGAGTCTGGTCGCTGATCTGGGCCATGGCTGGCAGGGTCCCCGCGCTGCGAGGCCGGGCCAGCCGGGCCGCCGCGATAGCGACGATCGCGCGTGGGCGGCGCGCGCGCCGCTGCGACTCGGCCCCGGGGAGGGACTGGGGTCGCGATCCAGCCCACGCCGCACCGCGGGCACCGCCCTGAGCGCCCGCGCAGGGACGACTCCCCGAGCTCCACAGGCCTGTCCCGGGGTAAATCCCAGACCGAGTTCCCTCCCTGCGTCCCTGTCTGGTGGCGCTCCAGCCCCACAGCTCCCTCCTCCCTGCCGCGCTCACAGACACCGCTCAGCTGGTTTCTGCCTTTGGACTGGACTAGTGGAGACAGGCACAAGTCAACAGCTCCCAGGCTTGTCTCCCTTGACAGATCCGCCAAGGTGAGAGAAAACACAATCTCTACAGTTCGTCCCTCTAACGTAGCCGCCTTAAGGTTAGGGTGCGTCCTGTCCCCTTAACAGCACCAGACACACCTGGCAGCTGATCTGACAGCAAATTGTCAGGCCTGGAGCAAACCGCATGAATCAGGATCTGCATTTTAAGGAGCCTTCAAAGATGCTAGAGCATCCTAACTTTCAAAACCACTGCTGTATTGAGGTACTGTTGAGACAGCGCTCAGATTTATTGGGTGAACAAAGGGACCATTTACTCAGCCTTAAGATGAGTTCTGTCTCATCCACTTTATGTCCAGGAACAAGGAACGTGGTAAGACTTGAGTCGGTATCCATGAAGCTCTTCATCTAAGGCCTTCGGCATAATTGATCACATTAGCTACATTCGGACACCAAAGGACAGACAGACCTGTTGTCCCACGTGTTTGCGTTGCTGTAGGACCTCCAGGCAGGAGATACTCAGGACACCATCCCTAGTGCCCTGGTTTCCCGCCTGAGGCCAGGAGACACCTTAGGGCCCCAAAAGGAAGTCTATTCCCCCTTCAAGGCTAGGAATAGAGCCCAGAGTCTCCTGCACACTGGTCAATTGCTGTCTTTGAGCTATGCTCTCAATGTCATGGCCCCTCTTTTGAGGTTTGAGTAAATCTGTGTTCCATTGTCAATGCTATTTTATCTTGTTGAGATGTGTAGGCCTAGGTGGCCTGGCCTGGAATTTGCTATGTAATCCAGGCTGGCCTCAGATTGAACTCACAGAGAGCTGCCTGCCTCTGCCTCTCAAGAGCAGGGACTGGCGGTCTGCGCATGCTCCCCACACACCCCAACACCATGTCAGAGCTCTTCCCAGGGACGCCCTGGAGGAAGAGGAGGAAGAGAAGGGCCCTGGGTGTGACTGATGTGTCTCTACACCAGACGTTTTGCTCACAGCTTCTGGGGAGGTGAGCTACTGGGACAAGGAGGCAAGCAGTCAAAAGGAAATTTTCAAAGCTGGAGAGGTGGCACAGTATTTAAGAGTACTGACTTTTCTTCCAGAGGAGCTGGGTTTAATTCTCAGCACCCACATGGTGGCAAACGACCACCTATAACTAAGGTTCCAGGGAATTTGGCACCTCCTTCTGGCCTCTGTGGATACCTGATATGTTCATGATGTGCAGGCATATATGTAGGCAAACACCATACAAAAATTTTCCAAAGCCAGATGTACCTTCTTCTGGGACAGCGGAGATTAAAGAACCCACACCAGGAGGAGAGGGATTTATAGTGGCCTCTCTGACAAAACCCTTTCCTGAGTTTCACAAGGCAAGACCCATGATCTCCAAAATCACCCTGTGTGGCAAGACACCGAGGATTGTCATCTGTTCACATCCCAGTGGTGCACATTCCTGCTGGGTCCTTACATTCATGAGAGATGTATCATTATCTTACATTCAGACTTGCAAGTGCTTTGCCGTAAGAATGCTGGGGATGAAGCTCAGTGGTAGAGAGACTCCCTAGGTTAAATTCCCAGGACCAGAACCAAAACCAAACATCTCCTGGAGACCTTTATAAAAGTACAGCTACTGCACATGGAGTAGACATCCCACGTAGCAGGTGAATATGCTCCACCAAACTATTTTATTTGATTAGAAGTTTTGAAGCAAAATTGAATTGAGGGGCTGGAAAGACAGCTCAGTGGTTAACAGCATTGCCTGCTTTTCCAAAGGACCTGAGTTCGGTTCTTAGGACCCACACTGGGTGGCTTACAACCACCTGTAACTAACTCCAGCTCCAGGGGACCTGACATTCTTTTCTTGCCTCTGCAAGCGCATACCCACGCGTAGATACACACACAGATACACAAATCAAAATAAAATAAAATTTTTAAATGAATTTATACATCCTGCAAATAGATCTGCCTATGCTTTCTGATATTATTTATTTATGACTCCCCATTAAGAATTTTGGATCTAGAGATGCTGTCAGACACTACCCAGCCTTGAGCTCCTGTTTTGGTTACTGTTCTTGTTGCTATGACAATATACAAATACACAAATGCAATGTAAGGCAGAAAGAGTTTGTTTGGCACACGGTTTCAGTGTGTAGTAGACCCACCGTGATGGGGAAGACATGCCGCAGGAGCTTGAGGCAGCTGGTTCCTTTGCATCCACAGTCAGGAAGCAGGGAGAGGAGAATGTGGGTGCTTAGCCGGCTTTCTCCTTTACTCAGTCAGGCGCTCTCACAGATGAGACGGTGCTGTCTATATTTGGAGAGGGTCCTCCATCTGCAGTTAAATCTCTAGAAGCACTCTTGTGGACAGACCCAGAGCGACCCTCAGTCCCATCATAGCTCCTCTGGGCAGGGAAGAGGTACACTAAAGAGGAGTACTTGGGGAGGAGGACGTGACTCAGCGGGTGGGAGGCTAGATGGGCAAGCATGATCTGAGTTTGATTCCCATTACCTAAGTAAAAATCCAGGTGCGGGGGGCTGGAGAGATGGCTCAGTGGTTAACAGCATTGCCTGCTCTTCCAAAGGTCCTGAGTTCAATTCCCAGCAACCACATGGTGGTTCACAACCATCTGTAATGAGATCTGGTGCTCTCTTCTGCCTGCAGGCACACACACAGACAGAATATTGTATGCATAATAAATAAATATTTTTTAAAAATCCAGGTGTGACTGCTCACCTGTCCTCTTAGAGCAGTGGTTCTCAACCTGCAGGTCATGACCTCTTTGGGCTCCAACGACCCTTTCACAGGAGTCCCTGCATATCAGATACATTTACAATTCATAACAAGAGCAAAATTGTAGTTATACAATAGCAGTGAAATAATTCTATGGTTGGGGCTCACCACAATCTGAGAAACTGTACTAAAGGGTGGCAGCGTTAGGAAGGCTGAGAAGCACTGCCTTAGAGCGGAGCAGGGAAAGGAGGCATAGTCAGGGCTTGCTGACTGCCACTCCAGCTCCAGGTGAGGAAGAGACTCTGTCTCAAGGAAATAAGGTAGAAAGTGATAGAGCAGGACACTTGTGCACACACCATTTCTCTGTCTCTCTGTCTCTCTCTCTCTCTGTCTCTCTCTCTCTGTCTCTCTGTCTCTCTGTCTCTCTGTCTCTCTCTCTGTCTCTGTCTCTCTCTCTCTCTCTCTCTCTCTCTCTNTCTCTGTCTCTCTCTCTGTCTCTGTCTCTCTCTCTCTCTCTCTCTCTCTCTCTGTCTCTCTCTCTCTCTCACACACACACACACACACACACACACACACACACACACACACAATGCAACCAGGTCCCTACCAAGGTAGGATAAATATAGGACATTTTTCTGAGTTATTGATGTCCCCAAATATTTATAAGAAGCATCATACACAAGCATTAAAATAACTCAGAATGTCTTTGGAATTGAATGAAAATCTTAAAGCAACTTCATGCAGAGCTCTCATATTTAGTATCTGACTCGGCATGAAATCTGGGGAAGGGGAAGACAAAAACCCTCATGTGCATTTGGAGGACTTGATGAGAGGAGGCAGCTCGGTTATGTGAGTTCCAGCGAGGCTCTCAGAGGGCAGCCCTGTCCGCTGTGCTGCCCCCTCTGCAGCCTGCATTTGCTCCAGTGGAGCCTTGCTTCTGGAACAATCGCTTTCAGTTTAGCTGTTTATACTCAAGCATTCCACCAGAGGTGGAGGAACCAGGGGCTTTCAAACCCCTTCAGGTTTCCAGCTTCCTCCTTCCCTGAGCAGGGGACGTGGCCAGTCTCCCCTTCACAGACTTGTCCCAAGCACCCTGCAAAGTTTGACACACCACTGAGACACGAGCAAAAACGCTTTAAACAAAACCATGACTTCAGCCTACAACTACCATCTTTGCCTGGAATCTTAGGGGCTTGTTTTTTGTTTGTTTGTTTGTTTGTTTTTTGTTCATTTTTATTTTTTATTTATTTTTTGAAGTTTTCTCATACACCGTGACTGCAGTTTCCCCTCCCTCCCTCTCTCTCCCACCTCCCCTCCCCCAGATCCACTCCTATATTTCTCTTTAAAAAAAAAAAAGAGCAGGCTTCTTAGGTATATCAACCAAACATGGGGGAAGTTACAATAAGACTTAACACAAACCCTCCTATCAAGGCTGAATGAGGCAACCCAGTAGGAGGAAAGGGTCCCAGGCACAGGCAAAAGAGTCAGACACACCTCCCACTCCCATGGTTGGGAATCCCCCAAGAATGCTAAGCTAACAACCATAAGGTATATGCAGAGGACCCAGCTCAGACATACAGAACCCATGTTTGTCCCTTCAGTCTCTGTGATCCCCTATGAGCCCTGCTTAGTTGATTCTGTGGGCTTTGTTTTTGTGGTATCTTTGACCCCTTGTCCTACAACCCTTCCTCCCCCTCTTCTTCAGGGTTCCCCTTGTTCTGCCTAGTGTTTGGCTGCGGGTTTCTGCATCTGCTCCCATCAATTGCTGGATGACATCTCTCTGATGATAATTGGACTAGGTACTGATCTATGAGTATAGCAGAGCTTCATCATTAGGAATCATTTCATTGCCCCCCTCCAATGTTTGGTTCTGTCTTGGGTCTCTGGGTTGTCCAGCCTTTGGCTCCTGGCCATCCAGGCAGTGTCAACATGGGCTTCCTCTTGTGGCGTCGGTCTCAAGTTGGACCAGTCATTGGCTGACCACCATTGCCCCAGAACATCTTGTAGGTTGAAGGTTTTGTGGCTTGGTTGATGTCCCAGTGCCCCTGCTGGGAGCCTCCCTGGTTATAGGAGATGGCCAGGTTAGGCTCCGGATCCCCGTTACAAGGATATTTTGCAAGTGTCACTCTCATAGATTCCAGGGAGTTTCCACTGCACTAGGTTTCCACATCACTCCCCAGATGTCCAGTTTCAGTCATCTCTCCCAGGGGTCTCTCCCTTT